AGTGTCTATGCTATGCTTAACCAGTCGTGCAACCCAACTGACCATCCTCACCAGCGAAGATGTCTTGATAGGAATCGACAAGCTGGACCAGCTGATCAGCCTGTTTTTGTTCCAGTATCGACTCATGCATTGTCTCTTCTATCATTTTTTTCAGGTTTTCAGGCCGTATTCCCAGACCTATTTCCATTAACCTATTTTTACTTGATTTTATTTCTAGTGTAAGTGGGCCCTTTTCAGTCAAGGAGCATCTTTCTCCTGCCTCAGCGCCTCTATCCTCTGATGAGTTCTGCTTTTCAACTGAATCATCATCTGCTGCAGTGCCGAGCTGGTCTCGACCCGAATCGTCAGTCGCAGATACACTGTACACGGAGTCCACTGGTGTCTGAAGCATTTTATGCGCTCATTTCCAACTTCTAGCCAGCCTTCTGCTAGTGAGAAGAGTGCATTTCTTGCTTCCAGTACATCCATACCTAATATACCTATGGGATTTCCTAAGTCTGCCACAACTACCGTCATCTCTTGCCCAGTATTGGCAATTTCCACATTTACATCTGCCTCTCCCTCTACTGGTAAGTTTTCTCCATTTGCCATCACTAACTCTGTTTGAATTTTACTTAATTTCGGTTCGCATCTAAGTTGTTTACATAGAGATTTATCTATAATGGTAACACTCGAGCCACTATCGACTAGGAAATCTGCAGCCGTTTCATTAACGCACACTTTAGTATACCAACCAAGAGAGACGGCGATACTAGAGAAGCGTTGCCGAAAGGAGGTGTTGATCCCAGAGCGCTATAAGCGCGCAGATCTTGCGCGCAGTTCCGCGGCAAGCGCACGCGACCGGCGGAATTCCATACGACAGTATGCAGCGCTGGCAGCTATGGATCCGGGTGCGCGAATGAATTGCCGGCGCACGGGATCCATAGCTGCCAGCGAACAGTCCGCAATTTCAGTGGGGACACAGAGGTAGACATTTGGGACGTGAACCAGTGTTCACTTGTTATAAAAAACATAATTTCTCTCTTACGTAACCGAGCTGGTGTGACGCGAAATCACAGAAAGACTGACGAAATTCTCGCGTTCGCGACACTTGCCCCAGTAATGGAAAATGGCTGCAAGACAAAGGCTTATATTAATAGACTGGGACTCGCTCCCCACTCGATTACCCACTCGAGTGACTAAGCTAAGCCGAGAACACGTAGCAATACATTGCATTAACGCGCACAAACACATACATCGCAATAACATCGTATTATATGTTAAGACTCTAGGCTATACGGCAGTAAAAATAACCTGTATATAAATATAATTGGAACACTCAGCCTCAGGTTTATTCATTTTGTATTACATAGCCATTATGCATTAGTTGTAATAGAGGTAATTACGTCCCAGTACACTTACTTATAGTTACTAACCTTGGCTATATCAGTCTAGGATCAGTATACAGCAAGTGCCGTACACTACAAGTACTTGCAAGTAAACTTCCGTCACTTAGCTCCAAGAAACGGTATTGCTAGGCGTTAGTAGAATACTAGGGTGTATGACGTTGTGTTGGTGTAGGCGAGCTATGGATGGAGCTGGCAGCTGGTATTATATAGGGTTGCCACGTCAAGGTAAACTGCGAGCAGGCGAGTTCCAAGGTCTTTCTGCGAAGTTTTTCTCACAACAGCAATCAGGCCCCCCCCTCGACCGCAGGGTAGACGAAGTTTTTGCTATAAGCAGCACGCTGGGACGATGTAATATATGCAAAAATGCTGTACGTCGACGCTCTCAAAACGATTCAAACAACAATACTCATCCAACAGCTTCGATCTTTGTTTCTATTTGAAGAACAGTGTGATTCTTCATGAAAACATAATTCTTTGTTCCTAACCGAGCTGTGTCACGCGAAATAACACAGCGAGACTGACGAAATTCTCGCCACGAGCGCACGAATTATTCTCTAACACTCACGTGATAATCAAATGAGCAAACATTAGAACATTCACATTGGTGCGTCAAGATGGATACGGGCAGTTGACGATGCAGGGCTGAGACTGCTACCGACCTTCACTCAGCCAACTATCGTTGGCTATACTGAAGTGAGTTCGCTAGCGTGTCGAACTGTGCACCGCGCGGCAGTCTAGGTCATCGAGGCAGCGGTTTTAAAAAAAAAACTTGAAAAGGTACGTAGATGGACTCGTTGCGCCATCTATGGGTCGCGATAACTTCCAAATTAATGTCAGGGACATGAACCAGCGAAAGGGAAATTATTTTTCTACACTAAAAGGACGCGCCCGAACCGCAAAGAAACAAAAACGAACATTTGGATTTATGCTCGCCCTACGTGCAAAGTCGAAAGGCTTCTGCAATCGCCACAACTCCTCAATTGACCGATTCTGCGGCTTTCGTGTGAGTACCCAGAGGGCCTCGGGTAGATGTTTCTAAATAGAGGGCAGTAGTAAGTCATTGTGTCGCGCCGAGGCGGCGTTGGCGCCGCTTCGCGCGGATATCCGGGGCTGCAGATCGTCTAGTCTCAACTGTACCGGCGCTACTAACGCTGGTACTTTACTTTCATCACTGCTGCGTCTCTGGTACTTCCATTTCCTGTGATCAACATTCTACAGACCGGTTCATTCATCACGCATGCACCGTCGGGTCTAGTTTAAACGTGTTGTTCTTTCAGTTTGATGCCGCTAGATTACCATTTAATTCGGCGTCACATCGATCTCCACGTTTGTGCGCTCGCAAGAACTGCATTCTCGCATCTCCCATATATGGACAATTACGCACTAAATGGGTATTCTCCTCGCAAAAGAAACATGTACTCGCCACTCGGGGGCCGATACACACGAGATTCCCTGCTGCTGTAATTAGCATAAGATTGTCCTCTCTGATTCGCATGGGTATTCATTCGACCGGCATTGGGTCGCTTGCTAGAATAGTATGCCTCCTTTCTATTTTCCTGTTCCAATCGAAAGCATTGCGCTCTGTTAAATAGGGGTTGAGCCTCGGCGGCTGGTTTACCCCTATAATCTCTATATTCGTCTTCCACAGCTTCGTACTTAGCCACCATTGATACTGCTTGTTCTAACGTATCAGGTTCTCTCAAGCTTATGTTTTTCTTCAGGTTTATCTCCTTCAACCCGGAAACAAATCGATCCACTAACTGATATTCTCTGTCTTCGCTACGCATGTTTGGAAAAGCTTTTCGGCTAAGCCTACGAAGTGCTGCCGCATAATCAGCTGGACTTTCGTCCACACCTCTTCGACGTTGCTTAAGTTCACTGCGATATACTCTTGCTTTTTCCGCAGGATCGAATCGCCGTTGTAAGACGTCAGCTATCTCATCAAACGTAGCAAACTCGGGATCCAATCCACTAATCGCATCCAACGCACTGTCATCTAATGCCATGAACAGTCTGTGTGCCTTCATTTCATCCTCCCATCCATTCCACTGTGCCACGTATCGAAACTTTTGCATGAATCTATCTAAATCTTCGTCGGCTGTTCCACGGAACGTAGGTGTTTTAGCTTCTTTTCTGTTGTTTCCAGCCGACATCGAATCCATTCTATTCCTACTTCCTATACCACTATCTCTTGTCGCAGCTAATCGACTCGGTGTCTCATTTATCTGTCTTAACTGTTTTATACCCGTACTAGCCACATGCGGGTATGATGAATCGAACATATCTCTCCTCCCTGCACTTCTATGGCCAAAATGCCTGTCCTGCATGTCAGACACGTAGTCATTATGATACGCAGTATTTCTATCACTTCCCGTCTCTACCACCGTTTCAAAAGCGTTCCTCTCTCTTAGCTGATCGTGATCCGGAGTGCCGAGATTATTTCTCACATTCGAGATATTCCGTACCGAATCGGTAACATTGTCGACACTCTCGGAACCACGGAACAACCAATTAAAGTTGAAAACAAACAAAAAAACAAAGAAAACTCATTGTATCGACACCACGTATATAGCACTGTAATAAATATTAAATATCTATTCCAAATTCTAACAAAATCGATCCTATAAATGTTCACAATAAAATAGATCCCGGACGAGCCCCCAAATTTGTAGCGGTTTTATGGCTCTTGCGACTGACCCGTGACCGTGTCTTTACCGCATTCGTCAGTTAAGTCTAGGGGTGTAAAATGTGTCACCGCCGCGTGTAAAACCCGCCTACAAATTAGATCGATATTGCTATAGTTTATATATTTGCCGTGGTGTCAATGCGGAGATAGAGAACGAAATTAGATAGTAGAAACATTTATAGTTATTGGTAACGTAAGAGATATATCTTTAATTTAACATGTAAACAACGTACAAGGAATCACACTATTTACAACAATTCACTCTATAGTTCTATAACAGTTCATACAGACAGTTTACTTACTATATATCCTAAGTATTATCTCTCTGTCGAATCTCACTCTTTAGTTATCACCGTATCGAACTCTTACTCTTTAGTTATACTCCAACTCCCCAAATCAAACTTCTTACTATTTAGTTATATCCTCCCAACTCCCCAAATCGAACTCTCTCTCTCTCTGTTTAGTTATATCCTCCCAACTCCCCAAATCGAACTGCTTCTTCCTATTTAGTTATATCCTCCCAACTCCCCAAATCGAACTC